CCCGGGCGGGGCCTGCGTCCCCTGGCAACTGGTGGGCAGGGCGGGGCAAGGAGGCCTCCGTGGGCACCAGGGGAGCCAGAGCCAAGGCTGCGGGGCTGTTGGGGCCGGAGCTGCAGGGTAAGGCTGGAGGCCTGGGGGACTGGGGCAGGGGGAGCACGTAGCTGAGGCTGGGGTCCTCTGAGGAGTCCTGTGTGGGTTCCGAGAGAAGTGGGGGCGCCGTGTGGGTGGGGTGCCAAGAGAAGTGGGGGCGCCGTGTGGGTGGGGTGCCGAGAGAAGTGGGGGCGCCGTGTGGGTGGGGGTGCCGTGTGGGTGGGGTGCTGAGAGAAGTGGGGGCGCCGTGTGGGTGGGGTGCCGAGAGAAGTGGGGGCGCCGTGTGGGTGGGGGTGCCGAGAGAAGTGGGGGTGCCGTGTGGGTGGAACATGTTTTGCCATGTCAGTTGGCATCATCTGCTCCCCGTGGGGATATTCAGGGTGCAAGAGGTGCTGTGGGAGAGGCACCCCCTCCCCTTCCAGCCCAGCTGGGGTCTGAGCTAGTGGAAGCCTCCTCTCTCTGCGTCCTGGGGCTTTGAGGCCTGGGGTCCTTGTCATCTGTGCCCTGCGCCCACTGTGGGAGTAGAGGTGTCTGTCCTTGGACCTGCTGGGAACTTGGTTTCGACCCCAGTCCTGAATGAACCCCGAACTCTAAATCTGCAGCCGGCAGGTCTGAGGTCTCCCATTTGTCCTGAATTCAAGAGACTTTCAGGGGGATCTGTACCAACACCAGTTGTACCCTGGGCAGTAAACAGCCCCCAACCGGGTCTTGGGGTCTAGTCCAGGGACAGAGGAGGGGTGGGCTGAGATCAGCTATGTGTGGCCTCTGCCTGAGTCCTAGGGGTGGGACTAGGGGTGCAGCCTGGGATATGAGTGGGAAGAGTACTCTGGGACCAGGATGGGGGAGGGCGGTGAGGTGGGTGGGGCTGGAGTCTCAGGCTGGAATTCCTGGGGAGGGGGCAGGGGGTGCGGGCAGGGCTGAAGGCATTGGGGGCTCTGCCCAGCCAGTGGCAGGGGCTGGGAGGACTATGTCCTTGAGTGATAGACAGATGAGGCCCAGGAGCCCCCTGCTATGTGCCCCATCTGAGCGCAGGCCCCTCCAGGAGGCCTTTTCCCCAGGAATGGGAAGCCAGTGGGGTGATGAGGTAGCAGAACTGGGAGGAGCAAGGGGGGCTTCTTGGAGGAGGAGGCAGTTGAAAATGAGCACTGCTGTTGTTACTCGATGTGTGACCTTGGGCGAGGTCTCTCTGGGCCTTGGTTGCATTGGATGTCAGCTGTGGACAGGAGTGACCCCTTCTTGCAAGCGTCAAAAAGATGCGGGGCTGAGGCGCGTGGCACAGGGCCTGCGGGAAGGCAGGCCGTGCGGTTGCCGCCGCTCATGTGCTCCAGGGCCTCAGGGCTGCCTCTCCCTGGGGGAGTCGCTCCTAGCTGGAGCCCCGTGAGCTGTCACATCCCATTTTACAGACAGGGAGACTGACGCTCTGCCTGCCCCAGGGTCATGCCGAGATG